CATAATTCGGTTGCATACAGAGTGTTGAACAAACGTACACGAAAAGTGGAAGAAACGTTTAATCTTACCTTTGATGATTATTATGTTAAACAAGTCAAAAAACACTTTGATCACAAACCAATCTTTAACGAATCAAATGTTGAGTCTAAAATTTCAAATTCGACAGATTTTGATTATGATTTAATTTTTGGTATTCCAGATAGGGCTGTTGATGCTGAAGTTAATGCTGCTGATAATCAAATCCATGAAGCTTCAAAGAATTCTGATGATTCAACAATTACCCAAGATGTTTCAGACTTTCATTCAACATCGAATTCTCAAAATAATGGCAAAAGTATGCTTAATGATCAAGTAGAGGAGGAGCACTTGAATTCATCAACACATGTTGAGGGGGAGCATCCTTTCGAGGGGGAGTATAGGAGATTGGATAATGATGTTGAGGGGGAGCATCCAAGTGAAGCTAATGTCGAGGGGGAGCAAAATGATCCAATTATGTCGAGTTCTGATCATACTGAAAATTTTATTGATTCAAATGACAATGTTTATATTGCAGGATCTGAAAATGATGAGATGTTTGAAGATGCTCCATTGGATTTTGATCCTGCATATCCACCATTAGAAAAAAGGACAAGAAATCATCCAAAGGAACAAGTTATTGGAAATCCACAAGACAGTGTTCTAACGAGGGCTCAACTTCGTGCCAAGAATGAGGTACTTAATGTGTATCAGGAGTTTTGCATGTTTAACGTTATTATTTCAAAAATTGAACCAAAGTCAGTTAAGGTTGCAATGGAACACTCAGATTGGGTTGTTGCAATGCAATCAGAATTGGATGAATTCGAAAGAAACAAGGTTTGGAGATTGATTCCTAAACAAAAAGACGTTTCGATAGTTGGGTTAAAATGGATTTTTAAAAATAAAATAGACAAGGATGGTAATATTGTTCGAAATAAGGCTAGGCTTGTAGTAAAAGGTTATTCGCAGCAAGAAGGAATAGACTATGAAGAAACCTTCGCCCCCGTCGCAAGACTCGAGGAAGTTCGAATATTTTTGGCCTATGCATCACACAAAGATTTTGATGTTTATCAACTGGATGTGAAATGTGCATTTTTAAATGGTGATATCGAAGAGATAGTGTATGTTGAACAACCTCCAGGTTTTGTAAATGAAGAACATCCAGATTATTGTTAGATTCTAGATAAGGCTGTATATGGGTTGAAACAAGCACCAAGAGCATGGTATGGAACTTTAACTTCATTTTTAAAACAATCGAAATTTAAACAAGGATCTGTTGATCCCACACTATTTCGAAAGAAAGTTGGTGATCATCTTATGCTTGTTCAAATTTATGTTGATGATATTATTTTTGGCTCTACTGACCCTGCTTTGTCTAGTGAATTCGAAAATTTGATGAAAAGCAAATTTGAGATGAGTATGATGGGAAAAATCAACAATTTTCTTGGTTTAAATATTTGTCAAAGCAGAGAAGGAATTTTTATCAATCAACAAAAATATACCAAGAATCTGCTTGAAAAGTTTGGATTGACGAATAGCACGAAATTACATGTCCCAATGGCGGTTGGAACGAGGCTCACTCCTTTGTTAGATAAACCTGCTATTGATTTGACTTTGTATAGAAGCATGATAGGTTCGTTACTTTACCTCATGGCAAGTCGACCTGATATTATGTTCTCTGTTTGTAATTGTGCTAGATATCAGTCGAATCCTCGAGAACCACATCTCACTGCAGCCAAGAATATTTTTCGTTATCTCAATGGCTTAATTTCGTTAGGATTATGGTATCCTTCGAAAACTGGATTCTTCATACAAGCTTTCTCAGATGCTGATTTAGGAGGATGCAATCTTGATAGAAAAAGCACAAGTGGTGGATGTCAGTTACTGGACGGGAAGTTAGTAAGCTGACAATCGAAAAAGCAAACATGTGTTTCGATTTTAACAGCAGAAGTTGAGTATGTTGCTGCTGCAACTTGCACTTCACAAATAATTTGGATTCAAAGTCAACTGCGTGATTATGCAATAAATATGAAGAAAATTCCATTGTATTGTGATTCACAAAGTGCAATACGCATTTGTCACAACCCTGTTCAACATTCGAAAACAAAGCACATTGCTCTTCGTTATCATTTCATAAAAGATCATGTGGAAGATGGTAACATTGAAGTTCACTTTGTGAAAACAACTGATCAACTGGTTGACATTTTCACAAAACCATTAGATGAAAAATCTTTCGTGAGAATATTGGGGGGACTTGGAATGATAGAAGGAAGTTCTGTTTCAGGATTAATTTCGAATGAATGAAAAGTGACAAAGTTGCAAAAATGTCGATTCAGAGGTGCTGAGTGAGTTTACAAAAGGATTTCAGTAAGCGTTCAGAAGTTACTGTTCACGTTCAGCGCTTCGACACGCTTCGATTTCGACAACATGTGTAATTCGTGATATAACAAAATTTTCGTTAATCTGTCAAAATTTTTCGTTAGTTTCAAACAAAAAAATTTTCGACAGATTGTTACAAAATTTTCGTTGATTTACACAAAACTTTTCATTAATCTGTGTCAAAGTTTTCGTTAAGTGGTTCATAATTTTTTTTTTCGAGATTTGGTCATGCAAATTTTCGTGAATACGGAACAATTTTTTTTGTTAGTTTGTAAATTTGTTTTCTTTTCGAAAAATCAAAAACACCAAAAATATTTTTGTTTTTGTTTTTTTTTCTATTTAAAATTCCAAAAAATTCCAAAAAGATTTTATTATTATTTTTTTGTAATTTTCTTCTTCATAAAAACAAAAATCCAAAAATATTTTCTTTTTGTTTGATTTGTTTTGTAGATTTGCATGGATCATGAAGAAGAGGGTGAACAAGTTTTATGAGATTACATGCTTGCTGTTTCAAGGGAAGGTATTTTTTCGACAATTCATGTACTAGTTAAGTTGTCCCTAGAAGCATGCTACAGCATGTCGACTTAAGCCTCTTTTGACTCAATGTGTGTTTTGAAGCCTTAATGAAATTTTCATCACGAAAATTTCTTCCCAATCAGGCTGTATTCACATTAGTCCATGAGCTACCATACTCTACTCAAATGAGTTTAGAGTAATTTGCTTGGTCCAACAAATAGCAGTGGTAGTTTCGAAATTCTTTACACAATCTTTTTCATCAAAATGTTCTTACACTTCCACACACAATGACATATGTCCAAGAGATCTTTGATCAAACCAATCAGGATTTAGACATATCAAACTTCTGTGTTAATGATCTAACATCATGAGACCGTGATGAAAGTGAAACCCAAAAATGTCGAGCTCGTTTAAGGAATTGACGGGGAACTTTGCTCTAGATTTTACGAAACAATTGTTTCAGTACCTACTTTCGAAACTCCAAATCATATTTACTTCTTTTGAGTGATCTTGATCAAATGTTCGTGACCTTCGATGTTTGTTACACAACATAATCCAACAAACATATTTTTTTAAAATATGATTTCCATGTGAGTTTCATTTGCATTCTTAGTCACTTTCTATATTTTTCCAAAGCCTACTTGTCACTGACTACACTGATCATACTGGTAATTTCTGTTACAATTTCTCACATTTATGTTAAGTGTTGATATGTAACGAAATCTTCAACCACCCAAGAAGCTTATGAAAAAGAGGCCCTTCGATAATTCTCTATAAGTATTCGATTGTATTTCACGGAAAACTACACAAGCTGTTAATCATCTTTCTTGTTGAATAACGAAGCAATTTTTTCCCGGGATTTATCTGCCTTTATGTCGAAAAATAATTTTTCGACATCACAGATCCCAATTTTTATTTTCTTGCTTCTTATCTTTTTCATTGACACATTGCACTCACGAAATCCTTGAGGTTCTGAGTAACACCAACTCAGGATGATGATTTCGACAGTCTGGCGAATGACTTCGTTTTTAATCCCATAAACGAAAGAGCCCAACCTCCATTCCAACGGTTTTGGATCTTATGCAAGTATGATTTCGAAAAGACAGTTAATGTGACGGTTTGGTAACCATGCGTGATTATCGGATAACGTGCCCACTTTATCAGGCATGACGTATCTACTGGTGCAACTTTTCAGGGCCACATGTCATCAAAGGAAACCGTTTGAAGTTCAAAATTGGGGATACATATAAAAAGGGCAATTGGGTTCTTATTCCAATTTTTACGCTTACAGACGATTTGTGCCCTAAGTTTTCTCTGTTCATCAAGCTTTCAAGAACACTTCTTTGCCATGGCTGAGCATCAATCTAACACTACTGAAGGCATATCTTCTCAACCCATTATGAAGATTCAGAATACCAACTATCAAATTGATGGTGAGGTATCGGTGTATCCAGAAGAACCGAATATGTTGATCGTAGCTCTAAAACACTTTGTTTTATCGACTGCGATGTTCAGTTCGTTTGTTGTTCCATTATCTTGGCTCTCACAAGCAGGTTCTACTGCAACATACAACAAAGCTATGGATGTGATTACATTCAATTTGGTGAATGATAAGAAGATTCGTGTTTCCAAGAAGCTATTTTGTCAAATTCTTGAAATCCCTAATTCTCCACCGTATTATGATCCTACTAATGCTCAAGTAATCCACATGTTCAATGAGATGGGTCATCAACCCCCACTCACCAAGATAAGTGATTTCAAGAAATCAAGCCTTCCAAGTATTTGGAATTTTCTATTTAGCATTTTTCTGCGTTGTCTTACTGGTCGGAGTGTTGGCTTAGACAAAGGAAGAATGGAAGTCTATGTTATGGTGGCTGGTCTCTACTATGATCTGGTAGTAGATTATTCGGCACAAATGTGGAAGGAATTTCTGAAGAGTGTGGAGAATACCAATGTTGTTCAAGGAGTTTCTTATGCAAGATATTGGAGCTTAATTCTTCGATATGTTTATGATAAGGAAGGAATTTTGGTCCCTAATGAGGAGCCAAAGGCAGAGTTTTCGAAGTAAAATTTTCCGAAATCGATTGAGGATGATGAAGAGGTTTTTCCAAACATTGCAAGGTTTCCAGATGCAATGTTAAAGCGAGTTGATCCAACCAATCAGGTGTTAATAGCATATTTGTTGACCATTAATCCAAATGTCGAAACAGGTGTACTTTTACCAAAGAAGGATGAGGGTTCATCTAAGAAATCTCGACGATCAAAGAAGGCTGCTAAGTCTACTCCTAAGCAGAAGGTGCAAGAACCACGAGTTACGAAATCTCCAAAGAAACAACCTAAAGAAGTGGAGAAAGTTTCGACAACAGTTCCTGCTCTTGTTGAAACTGAGGCTGTTGAAACTGTCAAAGAAACCATTTCTTCGAAATCTGGTGTATTTAAACGAATCAAGCAGAAAGTTCGTGATTCATGCAAGTCTCCGGAGAGATCTTCAATTTTTTCTCCGTCTTTCACTCGTAAGGCTCATATCACACGAAAAGGGGTTATGATTCGAGAAGTACCTGCTCATGTTTCTCCTTCTTCAAAGAAACGCATCGCTGAAGATATGGCGAAACAAATTTCAAAGAAAACCAAGAAGAGGAAATTGGTTCTTCAACATCCATCATCAGAAGACGAAGAAGAGGTTCCTGAAACTCCTGAATTTGAACTTTCAACGAAAGTTTCATCTCCTGAGAAGACACAAGTCATACCACCCGAGGTTTCGTCAACTGAATCAGTTCTTGAGGAGGTTTGAACCTCAGGCATCCCTACACACATATCTGATATGGATGTAAATGTCAATATGGGTGAAGGAGAATTGAACAAAGAACCTCCAGCATCAACTAAAGGTATTATCGAAACTTATACCATTGATACTTCTATTTCCTTACCATAATATATTGTTCCTGTTGATCCAACTACAAATTCACCAACCTTTGATCATGTTATCAATCAACCCTTTACTTCACTTTTCTCATCACAATCCACTGACCCACCCAAGCCCGTTAATGATACTGATACTGATGATGGTGGCTTTGGAAGTTCTTTTGATGATATTGAGTTTGATCAAGAAGAAGAAGAGATCCCAGATCATATGTTGATGTGTGGGAAGCAATTTAAAATTCTGAACAAAAAGCTCAATTCTATTCTTCAATATCAGGCAAATGCAGGGGGTAAGAACTCTGCTTCAAGTATTGAAGTTGATGTGATGCTTAAAGCACAAGAGAGTCGTTTATTCAAGAAAATTGATCAATTGATAAATGATTCGGAATCCCGAATTTTTGAAAAGCTTGATACATGGATAAAAATAATGAGTTAAGAGTCAAATCTGCATCTTCTACTTTTGATGATGAGCTCAAGGAGTTGAAGCGTGTTGCAAGAGAACGTCATGTTCTTTTTTTACAAGATGTTAAAACAATTAGAGAAAATGTGAACCACAAGCTTGAAGAACTAAAGTTGGAAGTGTCCAAGGAACTCAGTGAGTTGGATAACAAGTATTTGTCAAAACTTGAAAAAGTTGACATAATTGTTGCTGGTGTCACTACCTTTGTACAAAAACATCAATCTTTCGTTCCTAATTTTGAAGAGAAAATGGAAGCTGATAAAACAAGTTTTCATAAACTCGATGCCATGCTTGTCGAATTGAAGGCTCTTATACCAACGCCTGGTTCGTCATGTCAGATAACTCCTGAATTTTTAACTCAAAAAATTCAACTGTTTGAAGAAGCAATTCGGAAGGAGTTGGCTCCGTTAGCTCAACTGGTTAGTCTTTTACCAATGAATGCCCCGCCTGTTGTCATAGGGGTGAAAGGGGGAGAAAAGGTGGTTGTTGGTAAAGAAGAAGGTGCATCAGGTGTTACAAGTGAAGAAGCAAAAATTGTTGGAAAAGTGTTTACAACTCATATCCCTACCTCAAAACTAGTTGGAAATAAAAAATGAAGTAAATGACAAGTGAAAAATAAATATATCTTAAAATTATGACAAAATGACATGCCGTCAATCGAATGAGCTGATCCAACAATTTCAACTGTTGTCACTACAAGGCCTATTACCAAGGGCATTGTAATTAGGTCAACAGATGGTGGAGAAAGTGGTTCGAAACGAAAGCAAGTCCCAGTGAATCTAGATAAAGGGAAGAAGGTTATTGTTGCAAAGACAAAGGAGGAAAGGAAAGTTGAGATAGAGGAAGAGATGGAAAAGCAAAGATATATTCAAAGTATCTTGAGGCTTCGACAAAACGATCCTCCTACTTTGAACAAAGGAGATCCACGAAAGCTCTACAGTTAAGAAAATATTGAAGCCAGGGTTGCTTATAATGAAATGCATGAATTCGAGAAAAAGCCAAGGCAAAGCTACGCAGTGGAGAACACTGATCTAAATCAGCTTGATTTTCCTATCAACGAAATGATGTTTCTCTCTGCACAATACAAGATTATGGAAAGATTCAAGAATAATGATGATTTTAGCCACATGAAGATAAGGTTCCATGCAGTGTTGGGGAAGGAACAGGATGAAGTTTGGTCTTTGGTAAAAATAGTTCAAGTGCTTAGCATAACGAAAGATGTGCTTTTCGAAAATATGCTACAAAATTTTCGATATCACGTTGTTAGAGCAAACAAAGTACCTTTTGATTTTTCCATAGCAAATTTTCCTTTAATGAACTTGAATGATTTAATTCAAGTTGCATATATACTCAAGGAGTTGGATGCTTCGAAATTCCAGAATACAGGTGAAGACGTTTTGAAGTTGGGATTGGGGCATATCAAGTTGTTCATAGACAATTACTACGATTATCTAGCTTTAACTGATGTGGAGTTAGCTACATCTATGGGAAAAGATGTTACTGTTCCTCAAACCAAGTCTTTGAGTGAAGCTGAGTTGAAGAAGTATGTGGATGGGGAAATATGTTTGAAGCCATTTGGTATAGTTTTTGCTGGGAAGATTAGAAAGGGGAAATCATCGAAATTCTTCTTTCAGACAAGTGACATTGAAAGGTATACAATTGCTCATTATACAAACTTAATTGTGCGTATGAATAGTTGTAAGAAGAATAACGAAGGGGATAAGGCTGAATTGAAGACAGTGATGAATTGGTATGCGGAGATCAGAAGATCATTACACATGGCTACTCAAGTATTGATCAACTGATTTCGACACTGCTTATAAAGGGGGATATTTTAAAGGTTGAAATGGTCCTGTAAGGTGTCGAAATGTAATGTTATTTTACAAAGGCAATTTATGTCGAAACTTAGATGTCTAGTCCTTTGTAATTTTTTGTATGCTTTACAGTTTTCCTATAAATAGGGAATGCTACATAGAGTTAGATAAGAGTTTTTGGGAGCCTGTCTTGTCTATTCTCTCTTTGTAATTGTGAAGCATAATTGAGCTGAAACAAGATCTTATTTACTCTCGGTGTTCTTAATTCTTGTAACTCTGATTCTACGTTCTTTACTTGATTCAATACTTCATCATTATTCATAAACCCAAGTCATCATAGAATTATAAATCAGTATCGAAACAATATCAAAGTATCCCAAAATCCATAAGACATCATAAGCCGGCGAATGTGTACAATCATGCCCCCGCCTTTTCGGAATCTACAGAAGTACCTGAAACACATTTAAATCAACATTGTAAGCACGAAGCTTAGTGAGTTCCCCAAAATACCACATACACAAATAATTAGCCTCTCATGGCTAAATCTCGATAAGGACCCTCCGGTCATGTGTCTGAGTGAAGACCCTCCAGTCATAGCTCAACATATACACATAATAATATAACAACATAAGTCACAAAGACAAAATGCATAATAACACATATGTCAGTATAAGCAGATAAGACCCTCCGATCAACAATACAAATAAGACCCTCCTGTCAATAACATGAATAAAACCCACCAGTCACACATAAATTACCACACAGGTAAGTATAGTGAGAAGACTCACCTGAATCGAAGAACCTTGAAACACTACAACCAGATCCCTTATCTGCACTGTTCACACCCGCGAATCCACTAATACCAAAACCATATAAAATCTTAATTAATAAACCAAAGCCCTCAAGTTTGACCCAAGGTCAAACTTAGTCAAAAGTCAACGGTCAACCGAAGTCAAATTCAACAAGTCAACTTCAGGCTGAGTACACCCAACCTACGCAGCTTGTATACATGGCGTACTCACCATCCATCATTGAACCCCATATGAGTACGCGCAGCGTACCCGAAGGTACGACCAACGTACTCGGCCAAAAAGGAACTTTTCCATTAAGTGCTTAATCTCTTAAGTCCTTTTGTCCAACACTTAGATCTAGTCCCACAACATCACTCTAAGTTATAAAGTTTCCACCTTTATGACTTTCCAGGTCTAGAAAAGGGTCCAAAAGCCAAAACCTTAACTTATTAATCCATTAAGACATCATGACACTTTCATGGAAGCTATAGAAGGATCAAGATCACATTTTTATGGATCCTAAAAGCTCTATAATGGATAAAGTTTCCAACTTTATCCATTATAATGGTCCAAACCACCAAGATGTAGCCTTTAAGCATCAAATGGGACCAAACGTGCATCTTTTTCAACTTAATCCATTAATTCCAAGTCTCCAACCTTCAGATCTGAATTATAATGATGTTTAGATGGATAAAGTTTCCAACTTTATCCATTACAAGGTCACAAACTTTCAAGATCTAAACTTTATGTACTAAAATGACCAAAAGCTCATAACACCCAAAACTAGCTAGATCTAACAAATGCATCATCAAGATTCAAACTTTATACCTCTAGAAGATAGATCAAGGTGAACAAAGTCCAGATCTACATGCTCCAAAACAACCAACACTTCTTCAAGAAGTTCCTTCCCAAGGTGCACCATGCAAACTCCAAAGCACTAAAAAATATTCTTTTAGCTCATAAGGCTCAACTAGGGTTAGGTTTTCATGGAAGGGGTGTTGGAGGGGTGGAGGCTGAGAATGACATGGTTTGGGGGAGTTAAGGAGATTAAATAGGGCTCAAACCACGAAAATAGGGTTTAGGAATTGATTACGTACGCCCAGCGTACTCAGGATTCCCTTAGTACGCCCAACATACACCTTTTTGTATGCCCAACGTACTCAGCTTGGCCCCAAACAACCCAAACTTCAAACGATCATAATTTTTTCGTTCTAACTCCTAATTTGACGTTATTTATATCCACATAAAGGTATTGAGGAGCTCTACAACCCTATCTAATTACTTTTGACTTAAAACACATCGAACTATAATCCATAATTTATAAAAGAAGTATATAACATTACTTTCCCATTTTACCCTTTGACTCCAAAGCGCAAACCGAACTATTGGATCACATATCTACATTACCTACATCCAAAATGGGACTAAACCTCTCTTCCTTAAAGCCTCAAAACCTCCTCATAACCGAATTACGAACCACGAGCCTTAAATCACAAAACGATCTGAAACAGGATGTTACAGATTGACAGTGAATTTTTGACCTATTCTACCAATTGTTACACTATCCCCCTGTTGAAAGGATTTTCGTCCCAAAATTCAATGTGTAGGTAAAACATTAATATACAATTGGTTGCGTTTTCATTTCGTTTGATTCTCACATGATCCTTCTATAGTTGTTTTAAGTCGCATAACTCGAGATTGGGTACTTGGTCGAGTAGATGGCTCTATTCTAAGCCCATAAAAAGAAATGGATAAGGAATAAGAACGAATCAAGTATTTTAAAGGTTGTCAAATCTTATATATCGTT